TGAGTGATTCCGGTCACTCATATATAGCCCGCTGAATTTATAACGAGCTATTCAATTCAATTCATCAACCCCACATTTCCCTGCTGAATATCAAATCCCTCCCCGGCTTTAAGTTTCTATGGTATATACAACCCTATGAATAACAAAGAAAACCTAGTGAATTGGAAACTAAGAGTTGTTATTTCCCTGTGTTATTTAACGATAACTTAGAAGTTTTAATGCGGAGTTCCAGCCGAGCTTATTAAATTTAAGTAAGATTGGCAGAGTGACTCTTATTTATTTTGTGAATGATACAAATTCAACAAAAGTTCAATCCGATTCCATGTACCCAATTATGGTGTTGTCTTTGTTGGTTGGGAGATTTGGTTAATTCATATCTTTTTTTCATTTGTATGCAGACCCCTGAAGAAAAAGGGAACTTGTTCATCGCCAAAACCGAGGACGAGCAAAGACTGCAGTGATGTTTTTATTTTGTCTTCGAGGTTCGAGCCTCTTGAATCAATATAGTACTATATACATATATTATATTTTTTGCTGAAGACGGCCGAAGTGCCGAAACGTACAATAAGAAGTAAAAAACCTAGTTACAAGTTGCGTGGCTTTTTCTTCATTTATTCTATTTATATTATATCTACAATGTAGCTTTTATATGTAGCTGAGCAATTGTATATCAAATAATTATTTTCACATTTTGCTGTCTGGAGATTTATGAAGAATTTGAAAACTTTGTAAACCTACAAGTTTTCTTTTAATAAATATAAGAATGTAATCTTCATTATAAGCTACTGTTTGACTACACTTTTTGCAAGAAAACCAATATTCGAAAATGTTTGTCGTACTTTCTGTGTTAAAGATGATTTATCTTTTTTTTCGTTCTTCTTGTTCAAAGCTTCCATTTGATCCCTGAAAATAGAAAGTGTACTGACAAAAGGCATGTAAGAAACTGCCGATTTGATTGTGTCGCGATGTGGTGTTTTTCCATATGACATTTTTACAAACCTGAACATATCATATGCTATCTCATCCAAGTCAACTTCACCGTCACTATCAGAGTTGTCATCCGCCAAAACGACTTGAATTCCTGGATAACATGGACAACTAAGTTTAAAAAAAATTAGGCCAAGGTAACGCGTTTAACTTTCACGTGTGACGAATATAATTCCTATTTTAATCGACTAAAATAAATAAATACCGCCGGCATTTAATATTGACGTTGAAATGTCGAATGAAAATACCTCTATGTCACTTTCTTTTTACATTACATTTGGCACATGTGAAATGCGACGTGTAAATCAACTCCCGTACGTACCTTCTACTCAAGTCTCATTTAATGGCAACACTGTGGAAATTAATTGATTTATGCACGGCAGCTCACATGCATTTAATTCTTGATCGAATTATGTGAAGTTCGGCGTATAACATGGGCCTGACTGATACACAGCTTTTGACACTGAAACAGTTGAAACTTTTCAGACCGCTGACCGCTTCCGTTTCAATGTAGCGCTAATGAGCCCTTACATTCCCTTTCAATTTTTTCAGTATTAAACAGTATCTTGTCAAAACTATTTCAGATAGAAAGTTCACATTCTACGGAGAGCTTGTGCTATGTTCTTTAAACAGTTTAATACCTAGTGCCGATTTGGCATAAAGGTCCAATGACCATGCTAATGAGGCAATGCAAACATTGACATTAGCAGGAGTTTGCCTCTAAAGCATAGCGAGGCCTTTTCTTAGATAATAGTTTGCATGGCATTGTGGTCTAGATTCGGCCTATAAACTTTTGTTCTTGCTGCCAAATATGGCGTTGTTTGTACAGAAGCTAGACCACAATGCACCATGATTTTGTATTTCAGAAAAGGTTTATTAAGATGGAGTTAAGTATGCAAGATGCTGTTTTAATAGAATGATAATCAATAGGACAATGAATACATGTGAGCATGCTAATGCGCTGTGTGATATTTTAGATATGCAGTCAATCCCGTCAGTAATTTCGTATCAAATTGTTAATTTCTTTGCAAGAATATTCAACAAAAAAAAAACTTATTTAGAATGACAATCACACTTAATTCTATTTATGCAAATGACTTTGTGATTCATGTCTTGACTGTGCCTAAATTGCAAGGCGTTTGCATGTGATGTGAGAATCATCACAAAGAATACACAATAGATATTCATTGATTACTCTTTTCCCACGTTTGATTTTGAACTGATACTTACGTAGTTTCGTCCTGAGTGCGTCCAACAGTTCTTCGTATCGACTTATGCTATTGTACAAATGTCCCTTTATAAGGTATAAAGAGCCAAGACAACCACAAGCCTTGCATAACCCGTCTAAGTCACCTAGTGAACGAGCTATCTGCAGTCTTTCTTCGTGGCAATCCACAGCATCTTCTATGTGATGCTGTATTTCATATATGTTTCCAATATTATTGAGATTTTTTGCAATTGCTAATTGATCGTCGCGATCCCTCGCAAGGGCAAGCGACTTATCGAAATATTCCAAAGCTTGTGTTATATTCCCAATTGTGCGGTGAATACAGCCTAGGTTAGTGTAAGCATGTCCAAGAGTCTTTCGGTCTCCAAGACTTTGTGCCACAGACACTAGATCTTCAAAATAAGTTATCGACTGAGAGTAAGAACCCAACTTGTAGTACGCCAGACCAATAAACGTCAGGATACTAGCTTTTTCGTCGTCGTCTTCTTCAAGGTCTTTCAACCTTCGTTGATGATGTTTAATTGATGTAATAAACTCACCCAAAGGCTCTTCTACAAACCGGAATTGATCAGGATTATTGTCTTTTACAGGAAAAACGATTTTCATCATTTTTATCATTAATATGCTGGTAATAGCAGTAGTAGAATTCATTACGCAGGTGACCAATTGCTATTAATTAATAATGAACTGTAAGAGTTTTCAGTGATAGGGCTAAAACATGATTTCTTTTTACCTTTATACAGAGTGGACGTACTTCAACCCTGAAACAAATATTTACAATTACAACTAACTTGTTTCGATTTAAGAAATTAGCACAATTAAGTGTACTCTAGATAGTGTACTATTTTCAGGTTTTGCGGATTTAAGTGCGTCAGATCTATAAAAATGTCATATCATGTTCATCTTAACAAGAACTAGAATTGGAATATTCCGTTGGTATCCACTGAAGCCGAAAAAGGTCTTAGGGGATTGTGTAAGGATTCTTGCATTGGTTTTACGGCATTGTAAAAAATAATATACTTACTTTGTGTAAAATATATATCAACCATGCGCTCGTACAATTCCTTTTGGAATGTCTTTCTACCTAAAACAAATATTGTTGATTTATGCTAGGTGCTTATACGTAAAAATGTGCCGGCATATCTTGTTAAAACATTTTTCAATCTTCAAATTTTCACAGTTTATAGTTCAACAATTAACAAATTTTCCTCCGCTCTCATTGGTGACAACACAGTCATGCACAGTGGGCCTCGCCATGGAGGGCACTATCAGCGCTTAGTTCCCAATTCACTTTAGGTTTTCTTTGTTATTCTTAGGGTTGTATATATGATAGAAACCGATTGAAACTTAAAGTCGGGGAGGGAWTTGATATTCAGCAGGGAAATATGGGGTTGACGAATTGAATTGAATAGCTCATTAAAAATTCACCGGGCTATATATGAGTGACCGGGATTACTTCATAGATTGGTCAGCGTCATGGTATGCAGACATGACTTTTGGAGCTCTGTCTTTCTTATATATTTTTTCCTTTTTKGAGGCTTCCTTGACAAACCAGCTAGTCTTCCTGGTTATGGGAATGTTCAGAGACGCCATGGAGAAGGTTTCTTTGCAACCTCAGAAGATCAAAAAGCTGCTGAGAAGTATTTTCTGTTCAAGCAGTTTGATTTTGTTTCCAGCAAATATATTTGCAATTCAAATACGACTGGCCGTATTCTACACTTCGATGACTCTATTGTTATTACCATTATGCGACATAACAACATCCAAAGATCCATTGTTTGGTATCGCCCTCTGTTCATCATCACTGGCCTAAGACGGAAATTTTCAAAGAGCCGTATCTCTTATTACTCTAACTCCTGCGCTACATTTAATTTCATGGAATTTTGTATCAAGCTGAGCGGTGACGTCCATCCGTTACCCGGGCCAGAAATTACGTCGAATGGCAACGGGATCCCTGTCTGCATTGGAAATCGGCCTATCAAAAGTTTTAAGGCCGCTGGCCACGTGGCATCCAACTGTGTTAAATTGTCAAAACACGCAGCWCATGGTACGAGGCCCAACTTCCAAAAGAAATGCTTRCAAATAGCCCATATTAATCCGGAATTACTTAAGTCCAGGCAGCATTTTATCGAAACCAGAGACATGGCTTTAAAAAGTGACTTCGATATTTTGTGTATCTCTGAAACTTRGTTTAAACCTGCCCCGAGGGACACTAATGCAAGTGTAGAGATTGAGGKGTATAGGGTCTATCGCCTGGATCGTCCTAAAAAAGAGGGAGGTGGTGTCTGTGCTTATATTAAATCACACCTAAAGGCCAGGATTCTGAAAGACCTAACGGGAATTACTGAAACTGGATTGCATCAACTTTATATTCAAGTGCAAAGCAAAAATCTTCGCTCTATAGTGCTTGGTGTAATATATAGACCGCCTGAGATTGGTRTTACGTGCCTTACGGAGGAGCTTATGCCAACCTACATCAAGGCCCTGGCTCTAAACAAAGACATAATCATGTGTGGTGACCTCAATTGTGACCTCCTTTCAACAAATCCTAAGGGTGAAGCCCTTCGCTCATTTATTACATCTGTGAACGCCTCTCAACTAATCGACAAACCTACGCGGGTTACACAGACCTCCCGCTCTTTGATCGACGTCATTATTGTATCCAACCCTAATATAGTTAAAACAAGTGGTGTTCTTGACAAGACTATCAGTGACCACAACTTGATACTGGTTACCTTAAACCTAAAGGTTCCAAAGTTACCACCTAGCGCTATCATGACAAGAAGTTTTAAGAAATACGACCCTCATAAGTTTGCAGAAGATGTTGCACGTATCCCATGGGATTGTGTTGAGCTTGCAGATTCAGTCAACGACAGAGTGGATGCTTTTAATGATTTGTTTATTACTTGTCTAGACAGCTATGCTCCAGTGAAAACAGTAAAGTTGAAACACAGACCTTGTCCCTTCATCACCGAAGACATTAGAGAACGTATGGCATCACGGGATCGCTTACAAAGACAGGCCCAGAGGACTGGTAATGAGCATGATTGGCTAGCATTTAAAACGTTGCGTAAGGATGTCAAACAGGCCTTAAGGAAAGCAGAACAAGACTTTTTTAACAAAGAAATAGCTGAGAACAAAGGAAACAGTGGCGCAATTTGGAAAACCATCCGTCGAGCACTACCAGAGAAGTCGAATCAGCGCACGTCCTACTCAAGAGACACACAAACACTTGCAAATGATTTCAACAAATATTTCATCTCCGTTGGTGCCAATGCAGCGAGCGACGCTACGAAGTTGGCTAGATCTCACGGTCTTTCTGACAGCTACACACAACAACAAAATGTCACTACTCCTGTCAGTGATGATAATTTGTTTGAATTCCGGCGAGTGTCCAACTCAGATGTACGCGACGTAATAATGTCTATGGCTCCTAATAAGGCACCTGGCCACGATAGGGTTCCCCTGCGCGTGATCAAGGACTGTCTCTCATCCATCTTACCAACCTTAACGAGCCTCATTAACACCTCATTTACTACATCTGTCTTTCCACGAGCCTGGAAGAAAGCGGAAGTTGTCCCACATCCTAAAGAAGGTGACCCAGAGGTTCCTGSCAATAACCGCCCTATTTCTCTTCTCCCAGCTCTCTCCAAAGTAGCAGAGAAGATTGCATTAAATGATTATAATAGCTATCTCACTAAAAWGAACAAACTAACACATCATCAGAGCGGTAACCGGAAATACCATTCAACCGAAACCTTAGGATTACTAGTTACAGGGGATATTTACAGAGCAATGGACGAGAAGAAGCTAACTGCCATGATTCCTATAGACTTAAGCAAAGCATTTGACAGTATATGCCATAATACCCTTCTATTCAAGTTAAAAAATTTAGGGACATCACCAACGGCCATCAAGTGGTTTGCAAGTTATCTCACAGATCGGCAACAGTCTACTARGGTTGGTACGTCTTTATCTGACCAAYTGACAGTTACTCACGGGGTTCCTCAGGGGTCCATACTGGGACCTATGCTGTTTGGACTGTACATGAATGATCTGCCCTCTGTGGTCAAGTACAGTCATGTTGAGTCATAYGTTGATGATACGAAGATCTATCTGTCATTTGCCGCAAAAGACGTTGACTCATGYTTGTCTCAAGTAGAAGAGGATCTGCGACGCATTGCAGAGTGGTGCCGTGCTAATAGTCTCCTTATTAACCCTGACAAAACAAAATTCATTGCCTTTGGAACACCACAGATGCTTGCTAGGGTATCAGGTCTATGCGTTCCATTCTTGGGTCAAGACCTTTTTCCAGAACCTTTTGTGAAAGACCTTGGGATCATACTTGATTGTAACCTGTCATTCAATCAGCATATTAATACACTTATGTCATCTCTTCTTGGCAGCCTCTGCAGGATAAATAGAGTTCGCCATCTGTTCACTAAAGATACCCTCCTCACGATTCTGAATTCCCTAGTTTTTAGTAAACTCTTTTACTGCTCTACTGTATGGTCTGGTACTTCAAAACAAAACATCAATAAACTACAACTTTTACAGAATTTTGCAGCTAGAATCYTGACAAACACTAGAAAATATGATCATATTTCGCCAGTTCTAAAAGAGCTAGGTTGGATATCCATCAATAACCAGTTGAATTTAAGGGATGCTTGTCAAGTTTTCAAAATAGTGAATGGACTCGCCCCACAATATCTATGTGGAAAGATAARCAAAAGATCTGAATCACATACCTATAACATGAGATATAAAGACAATCTTAATATTCYTATGTGCAGAACTTCTACCGCGCAGCGTTCCTTTTTCTTCAGGGCGCTTAAGTTGTGGAATGACTTAAAGATATCGAAAGAACATAGTTCACTTAAGTCCTTCAARAGATCTTTAAGATACATGATGTCATGATCCTATCCATTAGTATTTGTATCTTTAATAATAATTGTAATTTTTATAATTATTGTAAATTATTATAAATAGGAAATTTTACTCTTAATCATCATTGTAATTTTACCAGTTTGTACTTATGTAAATTTGGAAACTATTGTAAATTAGGCATGAAAAGCCATTTTTGGACTGCTTAATAAAAAATTATTGTATTGTATTGTATAGATATCCCGATCAGGATGAATTTATAACGAGCTATTCAATTCAATTTATCAACCCCACATTTCCCTGCTGAATATCAAATAAACTACACAAGTAACTGCAAGTAATCTAAGCTATTTTTTCCGCAATACTCAGAGGACTGATTGAGAGCATAATAAGTTCGAGTCCCGAAGCTTTTCTTCTTGTCCATCACAGAATAGAGACAAAAATAGCCAAGTTCTTTGTTACTTAGAGTCAATACGTCGGAATTGAAGTATTTCTCCGCTCCTTTGCCCATTCTATTCAAACACGTACACACACCATTTGGTACTTTATTTTGTTCCTTCTGGAATTCTTCCCTCGTTTCTTTGAGCGAGTCCAACATCAAAAACTATTGTGATTTTTCTCATATTTTTTCTCTTCTGCAGATTTGCCATTGTTATTTGTAGCCCGTAGGTATACGTTGTTCCCAATCCGATAGCAAATCGTCAATATCAAAGTTCGGCAAAGGAATGCTGCCAAGCGTATTTTGAGCTATACTGTTCGACATCGTTTCCAGAATGACTGAGTATTAACAAAGAATATTTGATAACCATATTTTCGATTGCACGCTCTCGCATGAATTCAAAGGAGAGGATTGCATTGTTTGAATCCCAACTAAGAAAACAATCATTTAGTGATTTAGTTTTTGCAAAAAAACACGTGAATTGGAAACTATATAAGTTTGTTAGTTATCTCGCACGTCGGCATTTACCCTATATGCAGCCCGAGGGCCGCGTATATATAGCGTGCCTCCGTTCTTGGTAACTAACTCTTACATTGAACAGAACAAAGATTTATTTGGTGCATATAGAGATTGCGTTCTCGGGCGAATATTTGTTTTTTGAAACATCCCCAGTTTCCGTGGGCAACTTTCACATCATAATGCCCTTGATTCAACTCTACTATTTCAATAGTTTGCTTATTGTTGTCTTGTGTATCTTGACGAAGTCATCAAGATGGCAGATCGATATCTTATAAACTGATTACAGAGACAGAGAAAGTTCTTTGCGAAATTTACGATATCAGTCGTCGAGAATGGTTTGAAGAGTATAAGGTGAGATTCCTACTAACTAAAGTCTGGGATACAACTGAAGATAGACCCTTTGTACCTGGGGGTCACGTGACCACACCTACCTTAAATCAATCAGCTATCAAAAAATGACTCAGAAATGGAAAGAGCAGGTTTATGTTGGTAAAATGGCAAAGTTTCAAGTCTCGACTCTAAATACTTCTTTAAAATTGTTTTGATCCCCTTTCCATTTCTGAACATCATTTTGTCATTGCTGATTGATTGGTAGGTGTGGTCACTTGACTCCCAGCTGCAAAGGGCCTATATTGCTGTTCGCTAAACAGACTAAAACCAATGCCGAAAACAACAATGCACGAATGAAAATCAACAAATGACTTACTTTCGTCGATCCTCGTCTCACAGTGCATCTTGGCAACATGATTAGTAGAGAGGGCTTAACGAGATCACAGATTCAATAGCAAAAAAGAAAGCCTTGATCATTGGATAATTTTAACACGTTGAAGGATTTAGCAACAGATCATTTTCCGAAGAATATTTAAACTTAACAAATTCCCTGCTTTAATTTTGGATTCTCTTTCCACGCAAACAAACTATAGGGCGAATTGAAAAAAAAAATCATAAAGAAGAATTTGTCGATTATATGTTCTATATATAGACCATAGTTCCCTGAGTTGAGCCAATCACAATCTGGATGTGATAGTCCATAGTTTATATTTGCATCAGTTCAACAACAAAAAATCACGTTGCAGCTGGTTTACTTTATTTCCATAAAAGAAGGTCGTCTGAAAGATGAAAAATCATTATTTCTGGATTTTTTTCTTGCCGTCTTTCATCTTCTTAGCAGAAGACTTTTCTTCTTTACCTTTCTTGTCTTTTTTTAAGAAACGCGGGTTTGGGAACTTAGGTATTTTACTTTTATTTGGGTGAGCCGCTTTAAGCCTCTCTTGCTCCAATAACTTTTCTTGTGCTTCCCTAAGCAAAATAAAATGAGCCGATAAGACAATATGATGGAGAGATCATAGTTAGAGGGGTTTCTCATCATAGTTAGAGGGATTTCGCATCATAGAGGGTTTTCGCATCATAGTTAGAGGGTTTTCGCATCATAGTTAGAGGGGTTTCGCATCATAGAGGGTTTTCGCATCATAGTTAGAGGGGTTTCGCATCATAGTTAGAGGGGTTTCTCATCATAGTTAGAGGGGTTTCTCATCATAGTTAGAGGGATTTCGCATCATAGAGGGTTTTCGCATCATAGTTAGAGGG